TGATGGTTTAATTGGAAGTAGGTTGTGACCAAAGCATTCGCATTTCAACGGAGTTGTTGCTTATTACAATATTGATAAATTATGATCGCCGAATAGACCCTTTATAGATATGTTACGGTAGCCATTATACTACAATGCAGTGTGACTCATGCTAAACTTATTGGATACCGCATGGTGGCTATCTTATTAATATGCAGGAAGAATAAACTATAACCTATATTGCCCCTATCAATTTGAACGGTCATCAAGCACATACTTAAATTTAATGCATGTGAGATTGGCTTATATTGAACAAATTAATTCATCACCAATACATTATGATCTACCTAGATCATATAGCTTACACGATAGATCATATAGCTTACACGATACGTCCACTTTAAATACACGTTAATTTAAAGTTGTTGCACACTGGTACGTGGTTAAAGATCACGTACTCCATAATCACTAATAATAACAATATAATCAGACAGTATTGTTACACTTAAAATTACAAAGAATGTTTTGAAATAGTGTCATGTGATTAAGAAAATGGTAATTAGGTATTATTTTTTTAGTCATTAATGATCATAATCTCATCAAATGAAGTTGCGTTGAATTTATTTTGATACAAAATAAATTCAAGGGCATGAGGATTCAAACCCACGGTCGTGGTTTACCGTTGTATTGCACTGTAAAAGTGATAAAGTTAGTTAAAAGAGAAGCTACCATGATTCTGTTGTAGAATTATAGTGTTGTCATTTATGTAAAACGTGTTAAAGTACGGATATTCAAGTTTAGTTCAGTTCAGTTAAAAAACGGAAATTAAATAAATAAAAAATAAATAATAATAATAAAAATAATAATAAATACAATATAAAAACACAAAATATCATAGATGTAAGCTAAACTTAGGCCTAACTAATAAAATATACAATGAATTCTAAAAAAGAAAAAAAAGCATGAATATATACTACTGGTAATATATACACGCATAATCTGTGGATTAGTTTAATGATTTATTATAATTATTCACATTTGGAATTTAAGTGTTCACATTCAATATGGAAAATGATTTATAAATAGTTTTAATGATAGCATTTCAGACAAAGTATTGGATATGATACACGTATTCGAAGTTAACAAAATCCTGTTTAAGAAAACGCCCCTTTGTTAAAATAACTTCCAACTTTGAGAATGTATTATAAGTAAAAGGTAATTATCTTCATTATGTTACTTTTGTAACTATTTGTTCAGTTAATACAGAAAGTACTAAATATATTATGATTTTTGTTGAATTCCATTTTTGTAATGCCTGCATTTAGTATGGATCTTTGTACAATGCATACCTAATTCGCATTTGAATCCACATTATGAAATACCGTAATGATACTTGCATTCCTTTCTTATTCCGTTAATAGTGTCAGATCACCCAGCACACCGTGTTCACCGAGTTTTATCCATACAGCCAATCAAATGATTGCAAACCTCCTCAGTCCACACTATAACATTTTATGTGACGAATTTGTGCGTTGTTGCCATATATTGGTATGGTGATCTCATATTACACCCAAATATTATAGGCGTATCAGATTTTTCTCACTGAAACGTCAGTATTAGTGGAAATAGTTTAACAAAAAGGCTACTCCATGAGGCTTGAGGTTTGTAGATATAGTAAATTCGGTTGTGACGAAGAAAGTACAACACTGAGACGATTTCATTCACGATTTTGGAAATTCTCTTCCACAACTTCATTCTGTCGCCTTATTGTATGATCTTTAGAATCGCTAGTATCAAAATGTTCATATGTATTTCGTTTCCCCTCCCCCTAGTCGGAGCCGAATTAAGGGGGTGGGGGAGTGGACTTAAATGCGAGCACAGCTTCGACTACCTATATGAAATAAACTTGAACAAAATATGATACAAATTTTAATTGGTTATCCTAGG